GTACGGGTTGTGCTTGGTCATTTTTGAGCCAAGCTACTTGCCGTAACTTTACCGTCAACTATTAGTTGGTGTCGTGAATTTTATTCCAGCAGCAGAGGTCATAACAAACCACCAGGTACGATAATATGTCTTCATAAAAAATATCTATGTTACCTATAGAGTACAGCGTAATCTACTGTCACAGTATGTGGTCAGAAGTTATTCCTACGAGTGAAGATATTAACAAATACAAGCCTTCATAGCTTATCCCTTGTTTTCGTTAACGCCATGCTAGCTGCACGCTAACTGAGAAAACACCGTCAGCTGTATTAGACGTGACTCTTATCTATATTTGAGGCAGGGATTTTTACTAGTGAAAATTTAATTTTTATCCATGAATACATTTTGTTTCATGTTTTATTAAGCCTGATGGGTGGATTAGCTTTGCAGCTTGTTGCCATTTTTCTCGCTCTAAAACTAGATGAACACTGCTCTGATGATTTATTGTCCATCATCAGTCACCTGAGCTTTTTCAGTAACGGCTAATCGCATCTGTGCCAACCGGGGCTGGTTGTGTCTACCTGTGTGAAACACCTGTGTAACCTGAAGGAGAAAAGTGGGTCGAGACATTTACAGTTACATGTAATAATTATAAAAGTTTATGTGAAAACAAGAAATGGCCAGATCATTTAAAACTATTTTAATCGTCATAATATATATTTAATGTATTTGTTTTTGTATATGTATGTATTTTATTTTATTTTAGTGTCACTCATTAAAGGGACTCTAAGGAAGTTTGACAGCCAAAACATGTATAGAAATAATACATTTCTTCTTCATACATTCTCCTGCAATGCCCTGGTACTGTAGAATGAGCCCTGGCATTTTTACTGTGATTGCCTGTTTTTCTGTAAAGTCACAGAAAAGAGAGAGCTGCTCGGGTCGAGCAGGCTGCTTCATGCGCGTTCACGCTCAGGCATAGCCCGTAGCATTTGCTATCAGTAGCTTTAGCAGCAGAGAGAGGCAGTGCCAACTCAGCGACTTTGTCGCTGTTCCTAACACCTAGTGACAAACCTATCTACATTTCTGAGGACCCTTAGCTACTTTCTGTAGAACGATTTTCTAGATATTTCCTGCAAATTAGCAACAAAATAGCCATTTTCGCTCCGAACCATTCTTTGGATTTATGTTGTTCAAGCTGTCATCAGTAACGCGGTACAAAAGTAATTAATTACTGTAATGCATTGCTCTTTGCTGTAATGTGGTAGTGTAAGGCATTACAGGGAAAGAAAATGGTAACATTTACTCGGTACAATTGTCAGTAATGCAGTAATTACAACGCATTTTTAAACCCAGAATCAAGATGTGGGTTTCTTAAAAACTAAAATTGCGGAAAGCTCAAAATAAAGATCCGGTATCTACATATATGACGTCATTTACGGACTCCGCTTTGCAGGCATTCTATGAGGAGAGAGGACGCAGCGGTAATGGCTCAAATACTCCAGCTGCGTCCTGCGCGCGGCCGCTGTTATAGTCACAAAATCGCTCCACCAAAACAAAATAATTCACTTGCGATCGTTCATATCAGCCCATATTCTCTGTACTTTTCTGACCTGCTTTGCCTCAGCTGAGTTCATAATCTGTGCCCCGGTGGTTTCAACTCATTGCTGCTGGAACGCAGCGCATATGAAGCTTTTTTTTGCATTCAGTAGATCCCTTTGGCTGATTGGTTAGAAAGTAGGTAATCTAGGAAACAGTTTTTCTAGAAGACGGAGAAAACATGCAGCATGAAGGAAGGTTAGAGAGAGAAAGAGCAGGAAATTATACAAATAAAATCAAGAAAACAAAACAAAGTGCTTAAAAAGAAAATATAAGTAGGTAGATTTATCCCCAATACACATTTTTACCAGTGAAAAGCAATAATATATAAGCATTTAATATTTATACATGTGATAGAATCAGATCATCCCAGATGTCAGTCCCACATCCAGGGCCGTATCAAGGCATTTGGGGACCAAGGCAAAATAGGCTTGGAGCCCCCACCACCTCACATCCTTCTCAGGTAATATAAGATGGCAGCGTGCTGAGAGTACAGTTTGTTGTTGCATTTATTTAATCAAGAACTGTTATATCTGACTGGTTTTAACAGCAATCCTAGCTCAGACACCACATCACCTTCCTCTGGATGTGTCTTGAGTTCACTGAGCATCACTTGACCTAATTCATATTGAAATTGTTTTGTTAAAAGTAACTTAAAGTAATGCAAAGGTAGTGTAATGCCTTACATTTTAAAATCAGTAATATTATAATGTAATCAATTACATTAAAATGAGAGTAACAAGTAATAAATAATGCATTACAGTTTTGAAGTAACTTGCCCAACACTGGTCATCAAGGATATAAATATTACAGATACATTGAATGTTACTGGCATGTAGCTCACCATGTAAGATGTCTGACTCTCATGTAGAAGACCTGGGTTCGATTCCGGGTGTGAACAAAGTTTATTTGGAGTTTCTTTTTTACATTAATTGTATATTTTTTTTACAATAAGACGCCCAAATTTTTATTTGAGACTCGTCGAAAGGCATTGAATTCACAGATAAAAAAGATGTGGGTTCAACTTTCATTTTGGAACAATTTTCCAAGCAAGAGAAGGGAATGATCTGAGCATGCAGGATGTCTGACCTATCATAAACCTTTGTCGGCTGTGCTGAAGAGAAAGGTACAGAACCAAATTATTTAATTAATTAGCTGTGTGTTCTCCTGTCCTCTGTCCTCCGGGCCACACACACACACACACGGCCGACGAGAAAGTGCAGCTGCAGAGACAGAGGCACATTATTTTTATTAATTTGCTGTGTTCTTCTGTCCGCCGGGCCACACACACACACGGGACTGTCTCAGCTGTTATTTTCGTTAAGGAGTGTGCACGTACAGCGTGCGCGCCTCATGCACGAGCCTACTATTGAAGCTGCCGTTACGCATTTGGCCTGAGGGGGCAATCGCGAGCATAAAAATTCAAAAGTCCGAAAAGTCCCTTTAATTTTTCCTGACGATTTCTCCGATTATGTTGACTTGGATCTAATTTTCCCAGATAGATTCATCATAATAATGTTGAACTGACTGAATTTAACCCACTTAGGTTGCTGTCTTTTGGGATCTAATTACATTAAGTAAATATGCTCCTTAATCCACCTCATTACAAAAGACAAGCAACATGTGTTTCTGTATTAAAGACGCGTTTAATGTACTTAATTGGAATCTTGATTCAAGTATAGTCACAACAGACACACTATTTTAGAAGAATGGGTAATATTACTGATATTGTTGTATGTTGTGGGGGAAAAAACATGATTGTTGTCAGGATCTGAGGCAGTATCAAATTAATTTAGCTTATTGTTGTTGTTTAAACAGAAATAATTCATAAGGGGAATTAAAATATCAATATTAAAGTGAGTTAATGTGATGAACCAGAACCCTCTGTCTTTTAGTATGGGAGGTGATCACGGCCACAGCAAGCTGTCCATGCCTGACTGGCGGCAGTGGAAGGTGGAAGGAACACCGCTGGAGTTCACCCAGAAGAGGCTGGCAGCCAGAGGCCTGAAGGACCCGTGGGCACGGTCAGGATCTGTGCTGATGTTTGTTTAGGTATTTCTTTGTAGCTGGGGTTATCTCTGACACTTCTGCCTTCTCTCTTTCTGTGTGCAGCAATGAGGCATGGAGATACACCGGAGGCTTCGCCCGGGCTGTGACTCTATCAGATGTTCTGCTGAGAGGGTTTAAGTGGGGCTTTGCAGCTTTTACTGTAGCACTGGCTATAGAGTACACCATGTTTCCACCAAAGAAGGGGGGGCACTAATCCGCAAACAACCCCTAACGGTCTGAATATATTATGTATTTTCCTTCTTAATTAAATGTTTGGATCACCACATGGCTTTCTTTGTCTGTGTAAAGCAGTATAATGTCTGTCACACACTGGTGATGATGCTTTAATTATTTATTTATTTAACAAATAGATGAGGAATCGTCATCCTCCTAGTCCCGTTTCCTTTTCTTGCTCAGTTTCTGCAAACATAGTTTCACACATTTCACTGTTAGAAACACGTGGGACAGAACCAGCACAGCTAGCAGCGCTATTACATCCAGAGAGAAGTACTGGAACCAGTTGAGGTCACGGAAAGCAGCTTTTAGGTGCTTTGCTCCTTTATGTTTCATCACAAATTCTGTCCAGTACACCGACAGATCGACCGGATCAAACGGGCGATCGTTGTGAACAGCCGACAGCTTCTGAACAACCTCTTTGTACCTGAAAACACAGATGGATATAAAAATAGCTGCAAAAAAAAAAAAAAAGCTGAGTTGGCAGATCAAATAAAATGAACAAGATCACCTGGTGTTGTTGATGACCTCGTTCAGTCCCTGCAGGAGGCTTTCTGCAGTCAGAGAAGTTATATCCAATATGACTCCCGCTCCCCTGTTTGCCATCCTCTGGGCATTGTCAGGCTGGTCGCCACTAAGGGGCACCATCACCATGGGAACGGCATGGCACAAACCCTCAAACACACCGTGAGAGCCGGCGTGAGTGATGAAGGCTCGGACTCCGTGGTGTGCTGACAGGAAAAAACTAGTTGTGAGACACAATCCATCCATTTTTACTTGGCTTGTTTTAGGATGAGCTCCAACACACCCAGGAGGTCATTCTGAGGCACCCATTTCATCATCTTCACATTATCTGGGATATCCTCAGGAACTTGGCCGGTGTACCTCCAGATTACCTGTCAAAGGGAACAAAATTTAATTCATGATTTGACCTTTCATTTATTGGTAAATGTTGCAGAACCTTCTGAGGAATCTGCCTGAAGGCCTCGATGAAGACGGAGGTGATCTCTTCTGGTAGATCTGACACCATGGAGCCCAGGGTGAACACTATAAACCCATGCTGCCCAGAGATCCAGTCCTGCAGTTCCTGCAGCAACATCAAATCTACAACTTGACATATATATTTTTTAATCAAGTTCTTCTCTGGTTTATAATAAAAAGTTGGATAAAAGTAACTGAAAACTGGCTGAAGCTAAATAAAACTGGGTCTTACATCAGGAAGAGGGTTTCTCACGTTGCAGTTAATTCCACCAACCAGCACCATATTAGGCATGAGGGGACGGGGCGGCTCCAGAGTGAAGTCGATCCTGATGATCAGATGTTTTAAAAAGTTTTCATTAGCTTTATTTTTTTTTACTAAAGAAAGCTGTGATCATATGAAACATTCCAGTGAACCTTTTACCATTTAATTTACCGTAGACAAGATGCCGGTTTAACAGGTAAATTCAAAATTTGCAAAAACAAAGAGAGTTAGTTAAAACACAAGAAAAAGTCACTGAAGTTAAAAAGCAAGTAAAAACAAATAAATACACATGTAGGTAGTGTTTCGTTTGAATTACTTGTATGCATTGTTTCACAAAAGTAAAGATAACAGAAATCTAAAATAATATATATAGCAGTGGTTCCCAAAATAGGGGTCGGGACCAACTGTGGGCCACGAAGAGCTGCACGGGGGGTCTTGAGATGATAAATAAAACCGAAGACAATTGCTGAAACTTTTTCTACCATAATTGTTACAGAAACTAAATTCAAATGTCAAACAGTGATGGGAATAACTAAAAGTTTTTTCAGTAACAAGTATTCTAATTAATACCGTTTCCATTGCTGATAAGAAAATGTGTGCGTTACTAATTCAGCAGCGCGGTGTGTTGAAGCTGTCATCAGCTGATTGGGAGCTAAAGAGGCACGTGATGAATAGCCTACAGCTGCAGACCCGCAGGTTTGCTGCTGCAGCCGTGCCCTTGGCATGACAGCGGGACGTCCCGAAGGTCCCCTCACCTGTTCACCGCTCAGACGTCACGATCCTCTATCTTCGTAGATCATTCAGCTGTAACCTGTTTGTGATCATTTCTTCAGTACCCCTGTAACACTGATTACAAGTTAGTAAATTTAAGTCCTCTATCAGATTTGGTGCCTTGGTATGCCTCCTGCGCCTCTCGAGAGGGGGGAAGGGGCTTTTCTGGTCGCAGTCTCCCTGGGGTTCCTGCGCTTTGGGGCAGCTCCTGGATCTCTGAGACTTGGAGCTCCTTCCATCTATGCATCTTTTTTTTGGGGGGGGGGGGGGGGGGGGACAGATCTGTGGCCCCTCGCTCTCTATTGGACGCTCCTATAGAGAAACCTTACATATACAAGCGCGTGCACACACACAGGTGTTCGCATGGTGCTCTCATAAATATGGACTTGGGCATTTTCAACACACGTCTTAAGGCTGTGGTTGGCACAAAATGCACTGTGTTTATTATCGTGTGATTGTTCAGTAAAACAGTGTTGATTTTATATTTCCTCATCAGGTTGACGCAGTGATAGTTTGCTCCTGTTGTATTGTTGTGTGTCCCTTTTCTGCAGGTCTAGAAGCAGACTCTTGTTCATCATTGATTGTTTATTTTTGTGAAACCCCCCCACCACCTTTTGTCTCTTCCTTTCTCTTTCACCTCTGTCTCCGTGTCTGGTCAGAATTACAAAGCATTCAAAAAACAATAACAATAAAGATTTAAGTATCAGGCGTGACATTAAAGCAAGACGCTTTGATGCTCCACCTGAGAGTAAATTTGTAAGGCTAGTCACCAGCATTCAGGCATTAATTCTGTTTGCTCCACAGCCAGACAGGACACGGGAAAAATAAAATAAAAAAATAAATACAAATAAAAATAGATTTGTGCCTCTTCTAGTGTCATATTAAAGGATTTTTATTTATTTATTTAACCGTTACTAGATTAGCAGCAACAGCAATGCTACAAAAAACACACAATTATGTGAAGCTGGAAAAATTAGAACTGCAAAATTACATTTATTTCAAGAATTTAACTAGACTGAGAGACCATTTAAAGGCTCAGGAACCTTCACATGTGTTTCTATTTGCAATTATAAATTTTAGCTGACTGGGGTCTTGTTAAATATCACACAGTGATTTTTTAATAGTCTAAATTAGTGTAATGTTCCTGTTTGTAGTTCCTCCTGTTAAGTGCCCATTTACTTCAAATATTCAGTTTTATGAAAAACATTTGGACATACATTTTATTATGTTCCAGTCATTAGTCATTTATGTTTCACTATTGTGGTAATTTATAGTAAATTAAGCAAGTTTAATTAAGAGGAGAACCCATTTTTCTTGCATTCTTTAATGGAAAAAGTAACAAAATAATTATTTTTCTTTGTAATTTACTTTTACAATCTTGTAAATTGGTAAGTAACCGAGTTACTTTTTGACAAAGTAATCAGTAACTATAACTAATTACTTTGTAAAAGTAATGTTCCCAACACTGGTCGTAAATGGATACAAGTGTCACAATGTTTTAACGTGAATCATAGTAACAATGCTTAAAACAAATATTTAGTCACATCTGAACACATAAATTAGATATTTATATACCAGTGGTAGTTTGAAAATGCTTAGTTAAGATGCAAGTTTGGACTGCTGTGAAACAGCCTAATACAATAAAAGTAGGCGGAGCTCCTTTCTCTCTTTGAATGATTATTAGAGTATTTTCACCTTGGATTCTTTATCTCTGCTCACAGATAAATTATCCAGGATTAAACAGACACAATCTTACCATCAAAGGTTCTCTGAGAGGGGATCTCTTTGCCATGCTTTTATTTTGGAAGGCTGATTCTGTTTTACAACAGTGTGAACTTGCGTTAACAATTTTATATCCATCATTTCAATTCAACATTTAGATCAAGCTTTATGTGTTTAGAATTGATTCGAAAAACCTAGATTTAACATTAATATGCTTGTTTAATTGTGATCAATTGTAGCTATTCATTTATTCATTTCTGACTTTATAGCTTCCCCTCATGCAGACCTGCAGCAGATTTCAAAAACAGTTGTGTGTGCGTGCATGTGTGTGTGTGAGAGTGTGTGTGTGTGTCTTCGAGGGTGGTTACCTGGATACTTGGAGTGCATTTCTACCTCTAAAACCACACAGTGTGGAAAAGTCCATGCTTGTGTAGGCGTGTCGGTGTGTGAAGGGTGACAGGAGATCAGAGCATGACAAAGCAGTTTTTTTGACACGTGGTTGTAAACATGGATTGGTGCTGTACCTGAGAAGCCAGATGTCAGAGTCTGTCAGCACTTCTGCCACGCTCACCTCCTCTCCCAGGAACTCGTGGGCTATGTGATCAAAATGCCAGTAGATCAGGCGGCAGAGCAAAGGCTCCAGAACAGCTACCTGGGTGTCAGAAGCTAAACATTATGGTCACTACTCAGGTGTTGAGCAAATTTTAGCCAATCGTGACGGCTTATTGTAAAAAAAAAAATCCATACAACATGTCTAATGGTAAAATGGTTTTATTTTTGTTCACTAAATGAGAGCAGAGGATCTAACTCACGCACAAGAGCTCACCAAAGTGTTGATGACTCGCTCCTTGAAGTTCATTCTGTCCGAGTATCCAGTAAAAAACCGAGGCACAAATGAGGGAGGAGAGGGGCAGCCGGAAGCTTTCATATCAATGGAACATGGAGTCCCCCTCAGCAGATTAATGGTAGGAAGACCTGGAATAATTTACCAACACCTGGTGAGAAGAAATGCAAGCATGCAGAGAACCCCAACAAGGGATACTCACCTAATTTCCGAGCTAGTAATGAGCCTGTTGGTACCATGGGGTCTGTCAAGACAGCATCAAAACCCTGGGAGGTGAGAGAAAGAGAGAAAAATCAACAAATATGTGTGGAAGTTATTAGTTAGCGTCTAGCAGACTAAAGTCCCCACAAACAGAAACGCTACTCCACTGGTTCACAGGCAGAACACGACAAAGATTTACAGCACAAGAAAACAAAAAGTATAATGTTAAACTTTTAAAATAACTACAGTGTGTGTTAAAGAAACAATGTGTACTTTTTACCATTAATTTCTGGAAATATCCATCAAAAATGTTGTTGAAAATGAATGAAATGATGCCCAGTTGTTGAAACATATTGGCGGTTTCGTAACATACAACCATAAAAATCAGGTCTAAAATACATGGGAGCGGGTTTAAGTCTCTGGGCGACGCCATAGTAGATGCCATATTTCCTTCTAGGGGAGCTCATGGGGACAAAATGCATTTACTGATTTGTAACAAATAATTACAAAACTTTTGTCATTCTTAAATGTTGTTGTTTTTACACATTTACCAATTTATGGAACGGAGTCTGAAGTGATTGTTGTTTAGCTAAAATTCACACTCCCCAGGTCTTTTTGACTCTAATGGGCATCCGTTGGTAAGGTCTTACTCTAACACAAAAGTACTGCTTGCTTGCAACGATTTAGGTATCTACTGCCCCCTATCGCCAAAAAAATACACACTGTCACTTTAAAGTGGTAAATCAGCACAGCCAGTTTCCATTTTAACCAACAAATTTATTGAAAAATATTTAATAGGTTTGTGATCAGATGGCTAGCACAAGAGATCCGAGTTACAGTCGTGTATCTCATGAGGGGAAAACCAGTCAGTTACACTGATAAATCATCAGTGAAAACTGAGATGAGATTAGATGAGATTAGGTTAGATGAGATTAGGTTAGATGAGACATCCATCCATTATCTGAACCCGCTTCTCCGTGCAGGGTTGCGGGGGGCTGTTGTTTATCTACAGAAGTCTTCAGGCATACAGGTGGGGAACACCCTGGACAGATTGTCAGTCCATCACAGGGCAATAACCAAGCACACACACACACCCACCCACCCACACACACACACACACACACACCCTTAACCCTTTGATGCATAATGGTCACTACAGTGGACAGGTACTCAAAATTGTTATTTATTTGTTTTTGCTATTAAGCACAGCTGTTGAGGACTTTATTGCATTTGAGCCCCTCCATTTGGACTTCAGTAAGCCAAGCCAACATATTTCATGCTCAGAATGCACGCTGTCCACTGAGGTGGACATGTAATAAATTATTTGTAAATTATAAAATTTTACAAAAAATATTTGTTGAAATTTGTTTCATTCACACCTAAAGATGAATGAAAAAAAAGAAAAAAAATCATGGTTGAAGATTTCATAATTCATGCATCAAAGGGTTAAGGATAATTTAGACAGACCAGTTTCCTGACAGTCATGTTTCTGCACTGTGGGAGGAAGTCGGAGTACCCGGAGAAAACCCACATTCACAAGGAGAACATGCTTGCAGAAAGACCCCAGGCCGGGATTTGAACCCAGGACCTTCTTGCTGCAAGGCAACAGCTCTAACCACTGCTCCACTGTGCAGCTCCGTTAGATGAGACAAATTAGATAAAATTACTATAAGATTAGATGAGACGGACTGAATGAGACAGATGAGATTTGTGTCTTTCCACAACGTTTATACATGTGTTTATAGGTTTTGAAGCTCTAATTAATCTCAGTGGTGATGTATTGGATTGAGGTCAGGACTCTGCAGGCCTGCCTCCTCCACCTCATTTCTCCATGTCTGTACTGAAACACCTACACGATTGGAGAGGGTGTCCTGAAGACAGGGCAGTGGTGTGACACAATGTTTAATCCCCACAGAAAAGTTCAAACACCAACAGAGAACACTTTGAGGTTATGTGTTTCCCAGCTGCTCCAATTGGTCTTCCAGCCACAGTCACTCTGATGGATCACACGACTCGATCAGAACGTTTGACCGCGTTTGCACTGACCTGCTGAGCCAGGTGGGAGACCAGGCTGGCGTTGAACAGCAGACTCTCTGCAGTGATGTGGATGAAATTTACAATCTTCTTCATCTGACTGAATCGTGTCTTGACCTTCTCAATGAAAGGTTGTGCAGATTTCTTTAAGGCGTCTTTGTGTGAAGACATCACAAAGTCCATGTGTGCCTTGTCGTAGGGAACAGGATAGGCGATGGTGTCGTAGTGTTTCCCAGGACCCATCCGCACACTGATCTCAGGCATCACCACAGTGACCTTGTGCCCACGGCGACCCATTTCCTGCGCTATAGCTTTGACACCCACCCAGTGGCTCCCGTCCATGGGCACCACCAGCAGTTTACCCAGGAAACCTGAAGGAGAGGCGTTTGTCGCAGATCCGTTGGCTCCTCTTGCGGTTGCAAACTTGTTTGTTTCAGCTCCAGACCCCTTCAGTGTTTCTCCAGCACCTCTCACCTCCGTAGCCGCAATTAGGAGCAAGAACACAAGTACTGCTGCTTTCCTCATTTTTCCTCCTACTCTGTGTGTTCTGGATCCAGTGAAGGAGGAAGAATGAAGAACAGATGAAGACAATCCTCCAAGCAATGTGGCCTCTTCTGGGTCCGCCGGCTGAGTTATTGGAATTCCACCTCTGATTTCACAGCACTCCGTGTGTGTGTGTGTGTGTGTGTGTGTGTGTGTGTGTGTGTGTGTGTGTGTGTGTGTGTGTGTGTGTGTGTGTGTGTGTGTGTGTGTGTGTGTGTGTGTGTGTGTGTGTGTGTTCAAAGTCCTCATTCAAAAACACAGCTACCATTACAGGAGAGCAGTCTTTTCCTACGTTACTCAGTACTTTAATTACCTCCTCCGCCGCCACCACCCAATCCAGTAGAAAATGCCTCCTTGAAGAACATTCAGCCATGTTTATTTGTAATGTTTATGTGGGAGTAAATGTGTAAATCTTTGCTGATCGAGCAAAACGGGTTTGACTAGATTTGATGGGTTAGTTGTTTTATCGCTTCTTGGGAATATTTGCTGAATTCAGGCAGGTTTAATGATCACTGCTCACAAATCCGCTTTCTAGTGAAGAGCAGAGAAGATCTGGGGTTCTATTTACCACAAAATCTAATTAAAGCAAAGACTGAATCAACAGCTGACAAATGCCTTTTTTTTGTTATTTGCATTGCTTATCAGGCCCCGCATGAAAGAAAATCCACATAAATGAAACGTGTTAGTATATAATGCATTTATTACATCAGAGTAATTATCATTTGCTATTCACCTAAGTGGAAACATGATCATCTTTCTTTTTGCTCTGTGTTTAAAAGCAGATTTTCGCAGATGTGACTAAAAGAGGCCTGACGGGTCTGAGGATGAAGGCCTGACCACACGAGGACACCGACAGAAGATTTTGTCTACAGCGAACGCCAACGCGCGTCAAAAGGTGTTTCTTCTGTGAGTTTTCCTCTGAGCTCAGACAGATAGGAGGGATTCAAACACACCTTAAAACCCTAAACTGGTGCTAACTTGTGTCATGAAATAGGAAAGTGGTGAACGGGGTTTTATTATCTGGGTTTCATGATTAACTTAGAACTTTCACCCCTTATCTTCAGTCCACACAACCCAATGAGAACAATGTCAGTGAACAACAACAACATGAATCTGCACAAACAGTCTCCGCCAAGGCTTTTCACATCGAAATTACAGCCAAATTACTTTTGATTTCAGGTGAAAAGTCAGCGTTAGAGCCAAAATTTCATCCAGGTGTTTTGGAGAAGAGAAAAAGCATGCAGGACACCACTGTGACAGGAATAAACTCAAGCTATGCAACTTTTTCAACTGAATTTAATCTCTTAATAAATTAAGATTAACATTCAGATCTTCTTGAGTGTGTTCTTGTCCACACGGCAACAACTCTCTGCAGAGTGTATTTGAGGCAAGGCAAGGCAGCTTTATTTATATCATATTTCAAACACAGAGGCGATTAAATGTGCTTTACAATTATCAGGACTTCATATGACAACAACATAAAAACACAAATTAAAATACACACAAATGGAATTACAGTTTAGAGCTAAAGGAGAAGACACAGTTACAGTGCAGATTACAGTGGAGATGACGCAGCATAAGAAACAATTCATTTAAAGGCTGGTGAGTACATTAGGCTTTTTAGTTTTGTTTGAAAAAACACTAGGGCACATCTGAGTGAGTCAGTTTTTATTTAAAAATATTTCACACACCAGGTGCTTTACACGGCTGTGTGTATTAATGTGTAGGAGGTTTAATAAAAAAACATTATGGATAAAAAAACTGAGCAAACTGTCAGAAACAAAGAATTTGATGGATTTGAGGTCTTCTGCAGCATCGTCCAAGACCATAACATGGAATTATTCCAAAAATGCCCAATTTAACTGTTGTTTAGCTGATAAAACACACCCATAATGCCTGGCTGCAATAATCATAATAGTAAAAACAGAATTACAACAGCTGAATTTAGGCCTCCTTCTTTGGGTAATTCAATTAAATCAGCCAGTTTAAGATGTTTCTCTATCTGTAAATAATGTCTTAACATTCTTAACATTTTTCCTTAGTCTGTTAATCTTCTCAGTTGCTCTGTAACATGATGAGAACGTGTGAGTTGTGGAGTTTCATTTAGCATTTTAAATTGAAAAAGCTATTTACCAAAAATATAAATTACAAAATAATTAATCATTTAAATCCTGTTACAGGAATCAGAATTTTTTTTACTAAAAGTTGATCTATTCATAAGCCAGTGATGCTTAAAAATTATTGAAAATCTTGAAAATCAGTTGGCACTTATGTCCAGCAGGAGGCAGAAGACTTCCTGAAGTTTGAAGAACGCACAAGTCCTGTAAAAGAGCAAGATGTCAAATAAAGCAAATGTGATTTTAAAGTGTTTATGGTCTTTGCAGAGAGCTTGTGCTTTCACATATCAACATCTATATAATATAGTTCTATGTTGGAGATGGAGTCCTCATGATCAGTGGCGATGATTTAAACTCCACACCGGTTGGTGGCGGTAATGCATCACTAAGGTGTTTGCCAGCAACGAATAAAAGCCACAAGAAGAAGAAGAGTAAACCAGAAAAAAAACAGGGTGACGCCGTGACGGAGGTTAGCAGAGTGCGAAAGTAGCTTCGAACATGTCAAATGAAGGAAACTTGGACGGAACCGAGTCAAAGTAAGTTTTAAATCCTCACAAAGTCGAGTTTCAGGGCGCTGAATGTAGAAAGCTTTGGATATTTTCAGCTTACTGTAGCTTTAGCCTTTTAGCTTAGAAACAAAATGCGTCATTGCTGTTGGCATGCTAACGTTAGCTAAACAAAACTCCAGTTTTTGGTTATTCCATTAGTCCAGTGGTGTCCGGTTCGGACCTCGAGCTCCAGAGGTTTCAGCTTCTGTCACGCTTGATGACGACAAACTAGTGAGTTGGGTTTGCTGGAGCAGAAACTACTAAAAATGTAGGACGACCATGGTTGGAAACCACAGAGTTAGCTTAAACTTGTCCCTGCTCCAGGATTTTATGAGTCAAAATAATTATCATCTGATTTGTTAGTGTTTCTTTGTCAGGGAATTTTATCTGATTCACCAAAAACCCAAGATCGCATTTTAACCCAAGCTGTATTGTACTTGATTGGATATCTGTCTAACTGATGTTATTTCCTAATCTCACAGATGTGATGCACACGGTTTCTCTCAGTCCTGGTCCATAACAGTGGATTATTACAAGTAAGGTGATGAGGAATTGAAGTGTTTCCTGAACACTAACTGTAAAAACCCTTTGTGATTGTTGTGTATGCAGATCAGGATTTCACTCAGATCTTGTAAACACTGCTGTTCTGTCACAGAACCTTTGAGTATAGTTTAAAGTGGAAGAGACCCATGAGTCTCAGAAGCTCCTCCAGACTCTCTAAGTCTTCCAGTAAAAGTGTCCAGAAAGGACCTGCATCAAATGCAGCTGTTTCACAGGAAGATGGAAACTATGACCTGATCAACATCATCGATGGCCCTGAAAGAGAAGCTGTGGAAATAGTTGATAACGGACTGTTGGAGTCCGATGACGAGCTTCTGACCAGCATAAATTCTGGTCCCGCCATCATGCGTCATCCCTCCCCCAAAACGCTAAAGTCCACTCCGGCATTGTGCTCGGCCTGTCTAGAGCTTTATCAGCAGGCAAAGGCAGCAGAAACTCCAATCAAAAACAAACTCCAAGACCATGGTTAGTGTAGAAACTTGTGTTGAAAAAAGTTATTCTAATTATCTAAATGATCTTAAATCTTAGTTTTAGTCAAAAAGTAGAGAATTATTTTATTTTATGTGTCATGATGTCTGGTTTCATCCTCAGATCCCAAGTCCCTGACATGTGACCATTGGGTGCTGATCAAGAAGTGGATGCCCAGAAGGCTGCCCGATGCAAGGCAGGAAAATGTTTCTGTACTTTGTGTGTGTGTGTGTGTGTGTGTGTGTGTGTGTGTGTTTGCTGCTTTTTAAGTTGAAACACTCGTAAAATCAGGGCAATTGCATCTTTTTATCAGGAAGCTGGATAAGTTCGTTACTCTGGGACAAGGAAAGCAACCTGAGGAATCACCTGCCTGTTCAAGGCAGCATATTTTTCTCCGGAGGTAATGAAGCAGACCTCATTTAGAACAGTGACTGTGATTTCACGTGAAACGTCTCATGTGGTGCTTTTACTGTGTCAGGAATCTTAGTCGTGCCAGGCTGCAAGCAAAGGGCAGAAATGAAAGCAGGAGGAAGCGAAGGAGAGAAGATTCTCATGGTTGTCGTGCTGCTAAGCAGCGGCATCTCCGAAGCAGGGGTTACCAGGATCGGAACGTGACCAACATGGATGACGAATCAAACAGCAGTTTCATCTTCTGCAGTTTTGAAGGAAGCAGAAAGCCTCAAATGGATCCCATGAGCCTTCCAGAGCCATCAGTTCCTCTGAAGGCGGCCGTGGTCCAAGCCAAGCAGAAAACACCAAGAAAGACGAGTGGATTTAGAGAACTGCTGGCTCAGCTACGAGGACACCGCAACTCAATTGTCAAAGAAACATGTTAGAAAAATTGAACGTGCGTTTTTGTTCTGTAGGGTCTGTTAATAACTGAATAAGTTCTGTTCCATTCACATGCGTTGTTTTTTTTTTCTTTAAAAAAATCTGTCGAGATGCACCTAAATGACTGTGAACAAAATATCATTTTCTTCATGCAAATTGTTGTTTTCCTACTAAAGAGTTTGTTTTTCATCTGGACCTATAGGTAGACTGCTGTAATTGTTTCAGCTCATTCTACTAAACAGTGAGATGCTTTATTGGCATTATATGGTGCAATGCAAAAAGGAATTTGATGGTATAAATTTAAGACAAAGTATTAGAATTAAAACAATTCAGAGATCTAAAAATCCCTCCTGGTTTTATCACTGCAGCCAACCAGGAGGTCTAATCAAAAATAATTGCTCTCCGTGAAGAAGTGGGCCAGGAGGCTTATATGCTGCAGACCCACAATCATCTGCTGGCTATCAGCTGGGAACTTCAGAGTGGATCCGGGCAGGGTGAGAGGAGTCAGGTGCTGCAAATGAACTCCACTGAGTCATAAGAGTAAAACAAAAAGAAATGAGCTACAAGAATCAAATGGCTGTAACAGTGTTACAGAAAAGTGTTCGCATTAAACATGTTGGGAAAGGTTACCTATTACAGCGACATGTATGCCCTTGAAAATTGATCTTTTTGTTTTTAGAACAATGCAAATACATTAAAGATTATTCTTTGGACTACCAACGATGAAGATGTGATGACCAGTTCCCCATAAGTATTGTAATAGTGTTGAAAGTCAAACTTCAAATGCATGTTATCAATAATCTTCATTGGTATGTAGATACCAATGATGCATTGAACTTATATAGCGCTTTTCAAGACCCCCAAAGACGCTTTCACACACTCTCACATTCACACACTGCTAGTGATGGTAAGCTACTTGTAGCCACAGCCTCCCTGGGGAGGTCTGACAGAGGCGAGGCTGCCATTTGGCGCCGTCGGCCCCTCTGACCACCACTAACACAGGCAAGTTGGGTGAAGTGTCTTGCCCAAGGACACAACAGCAGGATACTGCTGGCGAGAGCTGGAATCGAACCCATGACCCTCCGATCATGAGGCAACCCGCTCTACCACCTGAGCTACTGCTGCCCCATACCTCCAACAAGTGGACAAGAAACTTGGCAGCTTAGTAACAGTTCCCCTTGTCTATTTACAGTAGATGTGTCAAACAAGGAGTGTCCTGGCTAGACCGTGTCATGAGGAGTGTATGATGGATCACGTAGAAAGCAGCAGGGACTCAGAGCGGTTTATGTTTGAAATGATAATCCAGAGTCGTTTATTTTTTATCGTTAAAAGTTTTTTCGTTAAAGTACATTTTAAAATGTACAGAGTAGAAGTAAAAAGTCAGCTAATTGATATGTACTCCAGTGAAGTATACAGGTCCTTCTAAAAAAATTAGCATATTGTGATGAAGTTCATCATTGTCTGTAATGTACTGATAAACATTAGACTTTCATATATATTAGATTCATTACACACAACTGAAGTAGTTCAAGCCTTTTGTTGTTTCTAATATTGATGATTTTGGCATACAGCTCATGAAAACCCAAAATTCCTATCTCTAAAAATTAGCATATTTCATCCGACCAATAAAAGAAAAGTGTTTTTAATACAAAAAAAGTCAACCTTCAAATAATTATGTTCCGTTATGCACTCAATACTTGGTCGGGAATCCTTTTGCAGAAATGACTGCTTCAATGCGTCGTGGCATGGAGGCAATCAGCCTGTGGCACTGCTGAGGTGTTATGGAGGCCCAGGATGCTTCGATAGCAGCCTTAAGCTCATCCAGAGTGTTGGGTCTTGCGTCTCTCATCTTTCTCTTCACAATATCCCACAGATTCTCTACGGGGTTCAGGTCAGGAGAGTTGGCAGGCCAGTTGAGCACAGTAATACCATGGTCAGTAAAGCATTTACCAGTGGTTTTGGCACTGAGCAGGTGCCAGGTCGTGCTGAAAATTAAATCTTCATCTCCATAAAGCTTTTCAGCAGATGGAAGCATGAAGTTCTCCAGAATCTCCTGATAGCTAGCTGCACTGACCCTGCCCTTCATAAAACACAGTGGACCAACACCAGCAGCTGACATGACACCCCAGACCATCACTGACTGTGGGTACTTGACACTGGACTCCAGGCATTTTGGAATTTCCCTCTGCCCAGTCTTCCTCCAGACTCTGGCACCTTGATTTCCAAGTGACATGCAAAATTTGCTTTCATCGGAAAAAAGTACTTTGGACCACTGAGCAACAGTCCAGTGCTGCTCCTCTGTAGCCCAGGTCAGGCGCTTCTGCCGCTGTTTCTGGTTCATAAGTGGCTTGACCTGGGGAATGCGGCACCTGTAGCTCATTTCCTGCACACGCCTGTACACAGTGGCTCTGGATGTTTCTACTCCAGACTCGGTCCACTGCTTCCGCAGGTCCCCCAAGGTCTGGAATCGGTCCTTCTCCACAATCTTCCTCGGGGTCCGGTCACCTCTTCTCGTTGTGCAACGTTTGACACTTTTTCCTTCCCACAGACTTCCCACTGAGGTGCCTTGATACAGCACTCTGGGAACAGCCTATTCGTTCAGAAATGTCTTTCTGTGTCTTACCCTCTTGCTTGAGGGTGTCAATGATGGCCTTCTGGACAGCAGTCAGTTTGGCAGTCTTACCCATGATTGCAGTTTTGAGTAATGAACCAGGCTGGGAGTTTTTAAAAGCCTCAGGAAACTTTTGCAGGTGTTTAGAGTTAATTAGTTGATTCATCGGGGCTGCGTGATTTAATTTTTTTAAAAGTCGACAGTCAAGTAATGAAAATCGAGTCGACTGATTAGTCGTTGTCGATGACGTCACACTCCTGAAGCGGGTTGGTTTGCTGGAGTTTTTGACAATTAAAATTGCGCCCACATTTTCAAAGTTAAACACATCTCTTTTAACAACGGTAGTTTCTGCTTACTGCTCCGCTTCAGCCCTCTCCCCCCTCCCCCTGCACAGTGGCAGCAAACTCACTGATGCGCCTGCAGCCTCTCAGAGTTCCTGCTGCTCTAAACGTTAAAATGATTATTTCATTTTCTGTTCCTCAGTTCTGATTACCTTCAATGGTGTCTGTTTGTTGCAACCACCAGGTACAAAAACTAACTTGTTTTTATTTGACTATTTTTCTGTCCTGTCTGTTTATTATCTTCCTGCATCTCCTCTCAATCCTAAAGAGAAACTGCTACCTGGGTTCATATATATTCACCTCATGAGTTCCCTTTGAACTGCAGTTCTAAAAGATCTACCGACCGCAAAAACAGCGGAGTGCACGCAGGCCGCATCAGTGAGGTGCGTCACCGGAGGACAAAACAGGTGATGCGCTCCACTCCGCAGCAGCGAAACGCATCAGGCACAAATTAAAGACAGAAAACATAAAAGGAAATGAGCCGACATGAACGATTGCGTGTTAAATTAGTTTTTGAGGTGGCGACACCTGATTTAATAATGTTACTGTGGCCGTGCTCAGGACGCAGATGTCTGGAGCGCTTCAACGTTCAGAGATTTGCAAGCGCAAGCTGGTTAAGATTAGGATGGATGTTACATCCCCGACATGTGTTGGTAAAAATGTGAAGGAAGGGGGCAACATAAGAACTGGTGGAGGAGTTTAAAATGGATTTATTTGTACAAAAAGGTATTAAAAACACAAGCAAACTGATTTCTCTAAAATGTTAACATTACAAAGCAAAGTATCAACTATAAAACACCTGGTACAAACTTATTTTAAAAGCTTTACCACAACGGAAGGTGTTTAAAACCGAGGTCAGCAAAATAGCCACAGACAAAGTTAACCTTAAAACCCAAACACACAAAAGATCCCATTGGATCATCCCAAAACTTAAAACCAAGAGCTCAAAACCACCAAAGTTCACAACACAAACAAATCCAAACGAACAGGGGTTAAAAAACCCAGGAGGACAGCAGAACCCCTGCACTGCTGCCTCCCAGACTGCTGAAGGCACAGCCTTTTTATACAGGTGTTGGTGATCAGGGAGATTCAGCTCAGCTCTGCTCCTCAGCAGCCTGGGAGAGAGGAGAATGAGGGGCGGTGTCAGGCTGATTCACCAGAGATGGGTGATCCTGGCTCCTGCTCCTCCCTGGCCAGACTGGCAACCGTAACAATGGGGGTGAGGGGAATGTTAAATTGCAAGAGGGTAAAGGTCACAATTTGGTTAAATGTCAGATGCCGATGCTCTGGCACAGCGCGTCGCCCCCCAACACGCAGGGGCTCATCACCTGCTGTCTTTTCCAAGGACTGCATCTTGTCGGTCATTATCACGTGACAGCGACTAGTCAATGACAGGCATCAAAAGTCACTACAGAGCAGTGAAGCCGACTAGTCGATACAACCCCAGTTGATTCAGAGGATTAGGTTAAAAGCTCGTTTAGAGGACCTTTTCATGATATGCTAATTTTTTGAGATAGGAATTTTGGGTTTTCATGAGCTGTATGCCAAAATCATCAATATTAGAAACAATAAAAGGCTTCAACTACTTCAGTTGTGTGTAATGAATCTAATATATATGAAAGTCTAATGTTTATCAGTACATTACAGACAATAATGAACTTTATCACAATATGCCAATTTTTTGAGAAGGACCTGTACATACCCAAAAATTCTACTTAAGTAAAGTAACAAAGTATTTGTACTTGAAACCTTTGCTGAAAACATCTTTTTAATTCATCAGGTATTAGACACCAGTAACAAAACTCGCCCACTCTTCTCCAAACCTTAAACGTATTCTCAGCCACTGAACACATCTCACACACGTAAAACTAAACAGGAAAATGTTCATGAAACACATGCTATCATTTATACACAGCAACTCAGAATTTAACACGCGTTTCTAACACAAATAATACAAATACAGAGAGGTGGAGGACAAGGACGAACAAGAACAGTTATTATTGATTAACCTAGGACAGCTATAGTCCGCCATGTCCTTGCACATGGGACCACGAGGACAGCCAGAGTTCAACCCAGTCTGAGCAGCTTGTCTGTGGGCAGCATCATCACGACATTTAAAGGACATTCCTCATACTATTCTGTAAGTGTGGTGATCTTCGTTACAATGTTAGGTTTACTATATGATTGTGTGGTTTGTCCCTTTCCGAGGGAACAAAGACTAAATGATGGTGGAAGGACCTTGTGGTTTGTCCCGACAACAAGAAGCACCGTTGTTGACATGGTCGTTCTTAAAGTCATCCAACTCTGAAACCCAGCAGTGATTGAGGACATTGATTGAACAGTGTGTCTTTGTTGACCTTGTCCTCCAACACAGCAGACCCTCTGAGCAAAGCTCAGCAAGAGTTGTAAAGGTCACAGATATCAGGATGATCCATGACGCTCAGCCTCAGGGAACGTTGTCTTTGATGTGGATGAAGTCCTGTGGACAGACCATGTGCACAATGACATGATGATGCTGAGTGAATCAGTGAATCTCAGTAATGTGTTTTACATTTTTATTGTTTTTTCCAGCAGTTCGTATCACTGTAATCAGAGTAATATTTGTTAAATACTCTTGCTACAAGCCCTGGATGCTGGATCATGTATTATCTGATGTGTCTAACAAATGTTCTGTGGTGGAAATACTTTACTTGCAGAGCTTCACACACATTAGTTTTGTACACGGTTTTACTGATTTAGAATGGAATAGAACAGAATAGCACCCCAAA